GAACATAGATTACGATAATACACTTTCATTATCCACACTTTCTTCTTCGGGAAGGAAACACATAGTCAGGTTATTGACTATGTTAAGTTATAAGAAGAATCATAGTCAGTGATTTTACACTTTGTGATATTCGTTCATCACATTTTGAAAAAAAAAAAAAATCTATCAGTGATTTTTAAAATATGAATAAGTAATCAGCTAGACAGTTACCCATATAAACATGCGGTAACTACGTCTATTAGTTACATATCTAACTTATATTATTTACTGCTAGTTTATTAAATAGTGTTACATAATGTCATGGAAGGATATCCTTTTATTAAGACCACTATTGGGTCTCTGCGTAAAACCTCTTTTATCTTTCTCAACTCTCTTTTCATGACATCTTCTGGTGTATATATTTCTTTAGCGAGTTTGAATTCGTATGCCTCAATTGCTATCAAAATAGTTAGCATGTTTCGGACGTTATACTGCTGTTTTAATTTTCTGGATCTAGATTTAAATATTGTGGGCAATAGACGCAAATATGTTATCAACAACATTATTTATAAATATCTTCCATACTCATGGCAATTTTCCTATCAACCAAATATATGTCATTTCCCAAAGGTATTTGAATTTGGTTGTTTCGCTTCCCCAGCATTTTGATTTATTCGGTGCACCTATAATTTTACTGAGGGTTTTTGCCTTCCGGGCGAAATGTCTTCAGGATAAAAAAATTTATTTTTCAGGAGTGACGAGATTTCTATACTAGATCTAGTTTTTGCAAATTCTTAAAAGCGATAAATTTCCTATGCTTCCGGCATAAAGGAAAACGATAGAGATATTTAGTCTTAGTTGGAGATTTTATGTAACACCCCTAATTTTTAAACAATTTAAAGCTTATATAAATAATGCAAACTACCATTAATTATCCCAAACAGCGCATAAATAATCCGTAAGAGTCGGGGTGTTATGCCACATCTAGGTTTGAGAACCTAGATGCACAGGCTAAACTAACTGAACAAGGCATAAATCATAACTACTATTCACAATACAATACACGACTCACAGGCCATCTAACTAATACTAAGCTAAATCCACGAGTTCATCGTCTAACGCGCTCCGAAGCTACTGATCTGCACCTGAAAAACAAACGATGTAACAACCGTCAGCGAATAATGCTGGTAACCCACTCCAACGCGTTAAGTACTATATAGATAGATATAAGAAAATCATTTTGAAACCGGAATACATATATGACCTAAGAAACTCAAGCTTTTAAACCAAGATCAATACTCAAGAAACAACAACAGACTTGACACTATAGAACAATCATAAAGACTAGTATGCACCTTAAGAACACAAGGCAAGGCATAATAGACAAGTAAGCTCATATATAACAAATAGAGGCAACAATGGGATTCAAAGACAATCAATCAGCAAGTAATCATCAAACACACAATCCATCCTCCAACCTTATACCAAGTTCCAACCTTTTTACTCCTCTCCATCCTTATATCAGTTCCAACCTGTACCTCCAGGCCACCCTTATACCTCCTACCTTATTCCTCCGGAGCAACTACATGCCCCAGTACTCCGTAACCACCAACAAGTCCACCAACATGGTAGCACCGAAGTGTCATTCGCATGACCCGTGTCTCTAGCACCAATACCAAGGGGTCGGCGCATATAGCACTAACATGACACCGCGACGCTTATACCCTGACCCAAGCCTTTAGCCAGCAAGTCTAAGGGGTGGTCTGTGCCTTTAGCACGATAACCGAGCACTCGTGTTTTTCGCCAATAATTCATCTCCACCAATCACAATCTCATCATCATCAGTCACACCGATCATTGCGCAATGACCACGATACCCATCATCATTCAATCAATCAATCATGTAATCAACAATAACAATCAAGACACATTAACAAACGACACACACACTACACACAGATTCCTAGAACAGTACTCAAAACATCATACGAGACTCATAAACATCAAACGGGGTACAACGGGACACGGGAAAACAACAAACGGGGAAATATAACCCGCGACACCAATAATTTCCAGCGTGTGGGCGGTGGGTGGTGGACCACCCGCCGGCTACCCGCCAGTGGGCAACCTTGGTTCCAGCGGGTGCCCGGCGGGCAGGCCACTACCCGCCGGCTGCCCGTGTAACACCCCCGATTTTTACCAAAATTTAAAAGCTTAATTAAAGGGAAAAGCAAGCTAATCATTCATTCAAAATAGGTGGAAGCAAAGTATAAATACGGAGGTGCTATGCCACACCTATCTCAACATAGGTGCACAGGCTAAGTCTAAACCAAAATCTCAAAAGCAAAGTCATATGAGATAAGGTACACAGGCCATAAGTCTAAACAAGGGAAACATTAAGAGCTACACTATCTAAGGTCCACTAGCGCGCTCTCCATAAGCTACTCAAAACCTGTAAAAACATAGGGATAACACCCGTCAGCGAAAGATGCTGGTAACCCACCAATACGCGTTAAGTACATAATATATAGATATTATAAAATCATTTGAGACAGAGGAATATAGTATATATCATTTTAAAATCAAGAGAGGGAACATCAATAGACTCAACATAACACTCTCAACAAAGACCAACAATCAACAACAATCAACAAGTCAATAAGGACAACAAGCAACATACTCAACAATAGACGCAACCTACCATAATCAAGCTAGAGTTCCCAATAGACAGGTTCATAAGCAATGAATACAACAAATCACACAATGACAAATATCAAGTTGTAAGTTCCAACCTTATGGCTACCCCCGGCCTTATTTCAGTTCCAACCTCTACCTCCGAGTGTCACCTGGTACTTCTGAGTCCAATCTTATTTCGCCTAGGACCGTCGTCCCCTGCCAAACTGCCGCCAAACATTATACCACCGAACTCTCAGTACACGAGGGTACCATTAATTATCATAGTAACATACCGCCGATCTCATGAGCAAAGCTCAGTAACAATACCACCAATCTCATTCATAGTTACACATAGTCATCACCAAGAGGATTGAGGCTCATCAATAGCCCAATCAAGTATCAATAACGGGTACAACAAATGTACAAGATCACATCATAGAAATCAATCAAGAGGTTTCAATGATAGACATGCAACAATACTCAACAACAACAATGGACTTCAATCCAATTTCAACATGATTGGCAACACAAGTTGCCAATCCTCAAAGGAATGGACAAACAACGCATACTAGCATCAACGACATCATATCTAGCATGTTCATCAAACGAGTAAACCAAAACGGCTCCAACGAATCTCAAAGACTCACATTAATCCAACGAATCACAAAGTGGACCATAAGCACAATTCAAGACACCAAATCCTAACATAGATACTTATAACATCGTTCTAGACATACGAAACATCAAGGAGACACCCAAAAGCTCAACAATCCAACAAAGAGATGCCAAAATATCACAAACCAAAGAGTGGAACCACGGAAAAACAACCCCCGCCATAATCTCACTGGTGTACCCCGCGGGTGGAACTGGAATACCCAACCGCACCGGAACCTAAACATTGATCTTGACAAGATCAATGACTCTCATCTCACCCCATAACCTCACCTCAGATAGCCAATCGCACCGAAATCCATTTCACCTAAAATATAATATCAACTAAATATATTAATGTTACATCCTCACAATAAAAATAAACACACAAGATAGTATTCTGGTTATTTTTTGAGGAATAATATTAACTCAATAATTTTACATTCCGAATTAAATGATTTCTAAAAGATTAATGAATAATAATAATAAAACTGGGAATGGTCTGATGAGGTTAGAGGATAGGATTGGAGTCAAAAAGAGATGATGGATAGTATAGCATGATGATTGATGGGACTGGTGGAGACAGAGAGTGGAGTGAATGACGACGTTACGTTGGGGTTTGGGTGGAAAAGAAAAGGAAAAGCCCCCGTGCCCCCCGCGGGGTGTTGTCCTTTGAAGAAGAGGGGCCATTGTCAGCCGTCCGATCTGTCAACCTTTTCCCAACTCAGATTTGATTTGATCTGTTGATGTACCATTTCCTTTTCCATTTCACTCACTCAATCACTCACTTGTCTTGTCTTTCCTTCTTTCCACACGTCATCATCTCCTGCTCCCTTTAATCAAATCTTAGATTCAACAATAATTTTTAAAAGTGTAATTTCCTGTTTTGTTTCTTAATTTTAATATTTTTTTTTATTAAATAGAACAATGATAGTGAAAGAATTATAAAATTATTTATAATGGTTTATGTTAACAAGTAAAATAACATTTCGCAATGACTTGGTGATCCAGTGGCATGAAATGACCCTCTCAAATAGGAGATCATGGATTTTGAGTTTCAATAAGGATCAGTAGGTTGATAAAGTAGTTATGTACTGATATTACATTGTAATCAAATCAGCAGTACTAAAAAGAAAAATATCCTCTCTTTTTTAACACCGATTAAAAAATATGGTGTGCTGTGCAAAAATTAATGTCCAAAATAAAGTAAATGTGTCTATATGTATAATTAATGAATAAAAATAAATTTGATAAAATTATTTATAAATAATGTTAATACTTTATATGAACTTTAATGGTATAATTTTTTTTTATATCACACAATAAATTAAAAATGAATCACTCTTGCCCACAAAAAATAAATTTTCTTGTCCCCAGAATCTCATATTCTTACCCAACAAGATTTGTGAATATGACAAATCACAATAATTCAACAATCCATATTCTTACCCAACAAGATTTGTGAATATGACAAATCACAATAATTCAACAATCCATTAGAAATGAAAGAACCTAGTGCCTACAAAAAAGCTCCCCAATACCCCAACAAATTATATGTAATTACTACACTACAATTATTAGAACTCGATCTTAAATCAACTGAGCTAACCATCGTGCGGGTTAAAATGAATAATTCTCAACATATTTCATAAATTAAATTTAAAAAAAAAAAAAAAAAAACAACAAAACAAATTTTAAAAATTTAGTATCATATTTATATGGATTTCGTGAAAGGCTAGCAATAGACTGCAATTAGTTTCACTACTATTTACACAAAGAAACATTGGTTATTTCTATTTAGATGGCAAGCATTAGTCCTTAGCCCGGCTAAGTAAAATTGTGAAGTAGCTAACAAACCTTTTTTTTTGGTTGTCACATTCTTAGAGAGATACTACAAACCAAGAATATAATAATGTTGTTGCTAAGTCAAAGGTTGCATGCAAAACCAACTTACCTAACCTACCTCAATCAGCAAAAGAAGAAGAGAAAAAAAGAAAAGGCAAAACTAAAGAGAAAGCTTTAGGCTATGTGAGATGTACAAATCAAGGAAAAATAATGAATTATTTAGCATGGCCACATCCTGGACCTCCCAGTGTAAGAACAACACCTTGAATGTCACTACTCCTATGGCTGTGATGATCTTTTGGCAATGCCAATGGAGGTGATGATTTAACATGTGTGCTCAGTCTTCTACCTGGAACTGTCCGAAACCTCTGATAAATTTCTTGTCCTGCAGCCTGCTGAGGTTGCCTTCTGCAATTTGTGTTTTTCACATGTTGTGTGCTGCTGTTTACATTGATTTGGGTGTGATGTTGTGAAGGATTTTGAGCAAGAATGGATCCCCGGGCCATGAGATCGGGTCCCTAATTCAATTGCACTTGCATATTAGTTCATCAAGCTTGCTTGAAGTTTACAAGAGCTAGCAAAATGAGATGGCTCATAGAGGCTTACCGGAGCGAAAAGAACACCTCTGAAAACCTTCCCATTCACCATCGCAGTCATTAGATAGCCCGAATCAAAGGCCCCATCAACCTTGCCGTGAATCTCAGCTCCAATCTGTAGTGTTAGCATGTAGAAATGGATTAGCTTAATGACGGTGACAATGTGTCAGGATCAAGAGTTTACCACTACGCCAAAAGCTATAGATAGTTGCGCCAAATTAAAGGAGCAACTTTATTTTCGAGAGACAGGGTATTGGACTTGACCTTTTACTGGTCTCTGCTCAACAATCCTCTAACCACCAATTGCTGGACTTGGCCCATTACTGGCCTCCGCCCAACACAATGCAACAAGAAAGGACATATCTAATTTGTATCTTACCATGTTTTGGTATTGCCCCGTCTCGAAGGGCTTGCTCTCTGTTACAGGGCACAACACGCGGCTAAATGAATGAGGCCGGTGAACATGCTGTTCTGAGGGTAGCTTACTATGATGCTCTCCACCGAACAAATGCAAATCCTTTGCAGCTATAGGAACGATGGTTTTGGGATTCGTCTCGACTCTCGGGACAAGGTTAGACTGGCTAGTGTTAGGTGAGAAGCTTTGTTTTCTCAACAACGGGAACTGTTCTACAGCAGTGGCAGAACTAGGGCCAAGCCTAACGGTGCTCAGTTCTTGGTCCGATTGGGATGAAGACGAGCGTTGAGAAAGAGACAGAGAATGATCATCCGCCTCCAAGTCAATCTCGTAGGTCTGTGTGTTACACATTCTTCTCCTCTTCCGGTGCAATGTTTCTGAACCGTTACAAAGAGAGGACTTCGATTCTAAGTCGAGTCCTTGAGCATCTGTTGCAGACATATTCTCCTTGCTGCTCTTAAATAGATCTTCCAGCTACAAATAGCAGAATTCAATCATCATTTTCTCGTCTTGCATATTAAATGTATTAGAAAGATTTAAGATTTTAAAAATCGGGAATTGTCGGGCAGAGGCCAGTAAAGGGCCAAATCCAGCAATGCAATTTGTAGCTAGGAAAGACCAAACTATTTTTTCTTACCTTTCGAAACCTTTTCAATTCATAATCGAGCAAGTTTTCGGAAGCCCTAGACACAGACAGGCTACTATTCCCATTGGCATGTTCTGCCCCGAGCTGCAAGATGAGCAGCTCGTTGAGAGGCCGCTCGTCCTCTCCACATCTGCAATACCACCGAGTTAGCCGACAAAGAGAAAAGAACAAAAATGTCATTCGAGCAGTAAAACAACGTTAATTAAAGCAAGTGAAAGTAGCCCTCACCCTCCATAGATTGCAATATCCGAGTGAGAGACTATGGCTGTGTGAGAAAACCGGCCTTGTGGCTTTTGCCCACACACTTCGATTTGAGTCCATGTACACGAAACCACGTCGAGGACCCAAACATCATTGTAGTATTGCTTATCCCCCACCCCTCCGATCACATAAATCTGCAAAGCACGAAAATTGCAGAACCAACAAGCTAAGACACCAGAATTCGTGCTTAATTACTAAGAGTCGGTTCGACTTACACACTAAATATTTCACATTTAAGGAATCTAGACAGATAAATTACTTACCTTAGAACCAAAATTCACGGAAGCATGACCTGCTCGAACACCGGGCAAAGGTCCATGAACATCAAGCTGTCAAGACAACTAAAGACTATTAGTTCCTATGTTCTTTCACTCAGAGATTTTGGGAAAATATGTATGAATAGAAAGAAAGGGTACCCTTGACCAAGTGAAAGTATCGATATCGAGCACATCGACTTCACCCTGATACCTATCACCGCAGTCTCCACCATACACGAACAGCTTGTTTTCCAAAGCAACAGCGCTATGGCTGTCCCTCGGGGCAGGCATATAACTACCTCGGACTTCCGGGGATGTCCACCTCATGGTTTTAAGGTCCAAGACGTGCAAATCGTTAAGATAATTGGCCTCTCCTTGTCCACTGCCCCCAAACACCACAACCCTGCTGTCCCCAACAAGCGTTGCAGTGTGACTTTCGCGGGGCAAAGGCGGGATCCCTTGGCATTCGGGTTGAGTCCATTCCAGTGTCCTAAGATCTAAGACATGGAGATCATTCACCTTCTTACAACCATTTGTGCCTCCAAACACTATCATCTTATGCCCAACCACAACAGCCCCGTGGCTGTCGCGTGGCCCGGGACCCTGCCCTGTCGTCACCAGTATGTTCCAACCCATTGTCTCCAGATTTAGCACCAGAACATCACTAAAATGCAAACCCCCACGACATCCCTAAACACGAAACACCACAATGTCAACCTTAAACATACTTCACAGTTCAGTTGCTTATGTTATAATCTAAGATTGGGCTATAATACAAATGAGTCAAACCACACTAAAGTCTTGTTTGACAATCAGCAGTTAGCGGACTAGTTAGCCGTTATGGGAGACAGATCCGTCATTTACCAAACATGCCCTAAAAGATTGAATCTGATTATTACTTAAACTAACTAATGAACTTATAAACTCATATATTCTCTTTATATTTTCAATGTGTACTCTTAACACTTTAGATTGAAGCATAAACTTACTTCAGGAATTTCTTACTCTCTTTTTTTTTTGGGGTATTCAAGAAAAGGCAAAAAATGAGGTAGAAAAAGCAAAACAAAGATAAAAGTGAAAGAAAAATAAGGAAAAAATTAAAATAAAATAAGACTGCTTTAAATTTCCCTTTAATCAATCATGTTCTTGTAGCAGCATTGATAGCAAAAAATACAAAAAAAATAAATAAATAAAAATGCACACAGAAAAATATAAAATGCCAAACCATATACATATACATATAATATGATATGCTAGGTGCCAAATGAACACCATTTCAGTTCCATCAACCATAATAATACTATGCATGGTAAAAAGTGATATATTGTACATCCATGTTCAAAACCATGCTCATTTTTGTCTCAAATTGTTGTGAATATCATGCATCTTATTTATTACAGCATGATATATATATATATATAGTTTCCCTCTAAAGGTGGGGATGGAAAGACTAGCATATATAATATATATCTCCACCTACCATGAGAGGGCTGGCAAGAATTAAGAATATAACCAAAAAGAGGAATACACAATGACTATGGCAGAAAGTGCAGCTTGCTCCTTCCCAAAAATAAAAATGAACAGAAAAATATATATATAATTTACACATCTAAAAGAAAGAAAGATTAAGAAAAGATTGGAATTGAATTACTTACCCCAAAGATATACACTAAACCATTACAATAACAAGCAGAATGTCCCCATCTTTCAGAAGGATTAGCACCCATCACTTTTGGATATACCCACAAAGCCTTCTTATTGCTATTTGCAATTTCACCACCACCCAAAGAACCCATTTTGGTTTTTGTTTTCTTTTAGTTTCTGAGTTTCTTCTATGAGGGAGTGTATGTAATATAATGTAGTGTTGAGGGGGGCTTAAAGGTTAATATAATCAAAGTTAAGTGCAGAATGCTTGACAGGCGGACATGAAGGAATAATATAATAGAGAAGAGTTGAAAACTGAAAATGATGATTTAAAAAAGAAAAGAAAATAAGTGGGGGAGGGGGGTAGGGGGAGGGGTAGAAAAGATAGAAAAGAGGAGGGTGGAAGTGAAGAAGGCAAGTGACATATCAAAGATCAGTGTCAAATGGACATGAAAAGATGGGCGCTTTCAAGTCTAAATCACTGTGACACCAACAAGTGAGAAGTGAGAAGCCCCCATCAGCTTAGATTGGTGAAAACAACACTACCACTGCACTGCTGCGCTGTATGCTATTTCCCTTTCCTTTTCCTTACTGGCTGCTGCCACTTCACTACTAGTATTCACTCCCTTACTATTCGGAGTAGACTAGTATTCTTCTTTCATCATCTCTACAAACAATCAACCACAATATTATGTTTTTTTTTTTTTAGTAAATTTCAATTTTGCTCCGGTGATTATAGGGATCCTGTCAATCCATCGACTTTCAAAAGTGTTAATTTAGTACCTTGACTATGCAATTTTTATTAATTTTGGTCACTTCAGCCAAATTGCTGTCAAAATTTTACCGAAAAATTTTAATAGTCAAAATTTCACAGAGCCAACTTTGCAGCCGTCCTCACCGCGACGCCTATGCCTCCAATTTGCCTCGTTGCAGCGCCAAACACCAAAGCCCGCCATCGTTGATCTTAACTGCAGCGTCGTGACTCTTTCGTCGTCGAATGGAGCTTGATGAGCAGCAACAACCCGTCGCCGGCGTTACCTGAAAGAGAGAATGGAGCAGCGAGTTCCGGTGCGACGAAACCCTCCAGGGCGGTTGTGCGGCGGTTTTCAGAATACATCAATAGTTAAGCAAAATATACACCATCAATGTTATGAAATGCACTACAAAAACACACACAATTCAAATTAGGTACGCATCACTAACAACATACCATTAGGTAGGACTAAAAGCACCCTACAATGTTCGAAAATACACTGTAGGAAGGTCTATGGTGTATTTTTTTGGGTGTATTGTGTATTTTTTGGTGTATTTTTACATTTCATTGTTGTGTGTTTCTCTTACACTATTGGTGCATATTGTTAACACTGTGTTGTGTGTTTCTCTTACACTATTGGTGCATATTGTTAACACTGTTGGTGTATTATGAAAACTATCGCACGGGAGGGTCTCGCCGCATTTGAACTTTTATATATATATATATATATATATATATATATATATATCAGTTTTGCTGGATTAATCCTAAATCTCCAAAGACCTCGCCCCTAAAATTATTGCAGAGGTAAATCGCAAATCGCACTATCAATTCATTGGTCAGATCCAAGTCTTCATGTGCAAGGAATTTAATGCAGATCTCTCAAACTTCCTTGTATCTTTTTCTCATATATGAATTCTAATAAGATTCGAACTCCTACACTGCATCTTCCAATCATGACCAAACACGTAGCCCATGTCCCATGATGAGCAATGAAAATGAATAATTAGCTAGGCAGTAAAATACTATTTTAATTTATCGGTGTCTATGGCCGTGTTTGGTAAAAAATTGGTCTATAGGCTAATTTTAGCTTATTTGATCACTATTAATTGTTTGATTTAGTTAAAATATCAATAGAAATGTTTGGTTAATTAGCTTTTTACAACTCCAAAAGGCTAAAATTCAAAAAGCTACTCCAAGCAACTTTTTCAATTAACTTTTTGAGAAAAGAAATTATACCAAACAACTATCAGCTAACAGCTAATTTACCAAACACTTTTCTACAATTATCTAATGTTATCAACTATTTATACCCTTTAATTAACACAATCAGTTAACAACAAACAGCTATTGACTAACAGTCATTTTACCAAACAGGGCCTATGTCTAATTGCTGTTTTGTTCCACTCGATCTGCTCACTTTTACTAACTCATGTCAGTCATAGGAGCTAGCATTATATTGGTTTGTGCAAAATGAAGGGAGGCTCTTTCGGGGAAAACACAAGTCAGTCCATTATTTTAACCATTTTATTTACTCCATCTGTATCTTGTTTATTATTTACGTAGTATTTGTTAAACTAATTCTTTCTTTTTCATTGAATTTTTTATTTTCTTTTTATTTTAATTTTTATATTCAAAATTTTGTATTTAATGGTACTTTTATTTTAGTTTTTAAATACATAAATCTTAATAATACCATGTAGTGTGATGAAATCTTAGTTACTATTCCATATAAGTAGTCATATGTTTGAATCTCGATAGTGAGACCTAGATTCTTTGGCTGAAATATGTTTAAAAAAAGTATAGAGCAAATACTGTTACAGTGAATGAATGAATGACTGGTTTTCATTTGAACAAAATGGGTATATATTTATTGTTTAGTTTAACCAAATATAAATTTTTTAAAATTTTAGATCCATGCGTATATATTATTCTTGGTGAAACATTTTAGTAATTTTATCAAAGGTGGTGTAGTCAATTACATAGAATCATTATTATATAAAAGAAATTTTAGAGGAAAATGACTTCCTAAATTTTTAGTCATAAGGTATTTTTAGGTAATTTATTTTTTCGTCACTCTCTTTTCAATCATTTCTTGCAAGATAGTTTTCAAATTATTATTATCACCACCACACCACTATCACCACCACCACTAAAACCAATACCACCACCACTGCTAACACCACCATCACCATCACTACACTACCACCACCACTAATACTAACACCACAACCACCATCGCCACTACTAACACCATCACTACCATCACAAGGACACCACGCCACCAACCCTAACACCAACACCAACACCACTTATTATTATTATTATTATTATTATTATTATTATTATTATTATATAACAAATAATGTGTTCATTTTATAAAAAAATGAACCAAATAGAAAAAAAATACAATTTTTAACTTTCAGACAAAAAAACACTTTTGACCTTCAACTAAACATTAAAGTATTAAAATATTTAAAAATAAATAAATTATTTTTAAAAATAATTTTCTGGAAAACTTTTCAGATTTCAAAACAAACCTAAATGAAATAGGGGGTTTGGTTCAAGTTATATGAGATAACTACCTAAGGTTATATTTGTTTGAGAATATAAGATTCCTATGTTTGGTTCAAGTTATGTAATTTTTCCTGGGAATGTAAAATAACTTCCACATTAAGTTTTTAGATATTGGAAGGGAATGTAAGATACCAAGGGGGCGTTTGGTTCGGGTCATCTTAGATTACCTAGGTAATCTGAGTCTGGTAATGTTATATTACCTTGTTTGATTCAAGTTATAAGATTACCTGGTAATGTTATATTACTTGCAATGTTGCAAAAATCGCGCCTAGGCGCCGATTAATCGGCGCCATTGCGCCGCCGCGAAGAAGGCCGAAATCGGCCATCTCCGCGGCCGGCCGCCTAGCCGGCTGAACCAGCGCCTGAACCAGCGCTTTTAATTTTTTTATTATTAATTTTTTTTTTGAAAATGTCGAAAAACTTTCGGAAGGCATAACTTTTGCCTCGGTTGTCCGATTTGGACAATTTTTTTTTCAAATCGCGTATTTTTTCGAGATTTATACACCGCAAACAGCCGAAGGCGATTTGGTCCACTATTTCTCAAAAAAATGCTTCTTTAGCTCTTAATTTTAGTTTTTTTTTGTATTTAGATGGTTTAAACAATATTTTGAACACTTTTACAACCACTTTCGTAAATAATTTCTAAGAAATAACTATGGAAACCTTATGTTGTATTACTAAATTTTAAAAATTTTTAATTTTTAATTTTATTTTTAATTAAAAAAATAAATAAAATAAAAAATAAAAAATCGGCGCCTAGGGGGCGCCTAGCGTGTTTTGCAACATTGATTACTTGAAAGTTGATGTGGCGGTAATGTTTCAAGGTAATGTGATTACCCCCATTTTTTTAGGTAATCTTAGATTACCTTGAATTATTCCAACTTTGCCCTTGTTAACTAATCCTTATATAATAATAATAATAAATAAATAAATAAATAAATAAATAAATATATATATATATATATATATATATATATATATATATATATATATATATATATATATATATATATATATATATATCATTAAGGACATTATAGTAAATTGATCCATATAACCTAAAAAATAAGTCTTAACCAAATAAGGTAATATTATATTACACAATCTAAACCAAACACATCAGGTAATCTTACATTCCCAAAATCTCACATTACCTTCTTGGAGGTAATCCTATTACCTGGGTAATCCAAGATTCCGTAAACCAAACGCCCCCAGGTGAGTTTGGTTCACGGAATGTTAGATTATCTTAGGATATGTTAGATTGAAGGGAATGTTAGATTATTAGGAATGTTAGATTCCTGTGTTTGGTTTAAAATTAAGATATGTAAATAAGTCAACGATAATAAGATAAATTGATTAAAACGTCCAAAATCCTACATTAGTAATAAGACAAGAGAATGTGAGATTACCTAAGAAATTGGAGGGTATCTCACATTCCCTTCCAATAACTCAAAACTTAATGTGGAGGTAATCTGACATTCCCTGGGAAAGTTATATAATCTGAACCAAACATGAGAATCTTATATTACCAAGCAAATATAACCTGAACCAAACGCTCAATTTCTTAGATAATCTCACATTCTATTGTTTTATTACTAATTTTGGACTTTGGACATTTTAATCAATTTGTCTTATTACTGTTATCTTATTTACATATCTTAGTTTTAAACCAAATATAGAAATCTAACATTCCCTGTAATATAATATTCCTTGAGATAATCTAACATTTCGTGAACTAAACGCCCATGTGTATGTTTATATATGCAAGTGCAAGCATTGGTATTTGAGTGTGTGTTAGTTTAATTTGATTTGTTTTAATGAAGATAATATATATGTTGGGATTGATGGGGCGAAGGGTTTTTAATTTGCCCGCAGACCAAAATAGTGAAGTGAAGTGAAGAATTGAAGTGGATCAAGATTCAAGAAAGAAATGTATGTTCTCAAGGTCTTTGTTTCAAGTGTGTGGGTCTTTGTGCTGCGCAAATTCCTTTCAGTTTTTGGGAATTGGAATTGGCGCTGTTTCCCTTAAACAAAAGTTTCCAACTTTTCTTAAAATTAACAATTCTCTTAAATTATTTTTCCCTTGGACTTTGGACTGTTTTATACTCTATTAGAGCATCCTTATCAGTTGGGGATATTAGGGGGAGAATGTAAGAGTGAGTAGGAAAGAGAATAATGTGGGAGGGGAGGAAAAATAAAAATCAAAACTGATTTTATAAAAAATATATATAAAAAATAAGAATGTCATTTCTCTATTGGTTCTCTCTTCTCCATGATTAATTCTTTTTCTTGGACAGAGTAATATCCCAACCTTTGCAGATGCTCCCCACCCCTTCTCTCTCTTGGTTCTCTCTCTGCCACCATGGCATTTTGGCCTCAAAAGTAGTGAATTCTCCCCTATTTCTCCTCTGATGTAGATGCTCTTAATACTATACTTTGGGGCTGCCTCTTTGCTTTTAATATTTAACTAGTATTTTCACCCGTGCGATGCACGGAATGGAATTGTTGTAATATATTAAGAATATTTAAATCGATATATAATTATTTAAGAGTTAATTTCACCAGAGGTCGTTTATCTTTCCTGACAATTCCAAATTTAATCATAGACTATAGTTATTAATTATTACGATTTATTCTATGTTACAACTCTTACGTTAATATTCTTACTATTATTATTAACACTTAATTACTTTTAGATATTATTATTACCACTTATATTATTATTATTATATTATTATTATTATTAGTTTCTTTTCAAGTACTGTTAGTATATAATGGTCGTGAGGCACAATAATAATATAACCATAATTAAATATTCTTGTGAGGCGAGATGGCGAGACTTGGCGGCTAAGTAGTAACCGTCGGTAGTGAGTAGCAGCGAGGTTCTTCTCCGGCGAGTTGTGGGTACGGCGACGAGCATACGAGGCAGTAACTCCTTCCGGCGACGGACCAGTAAGGCAGATCTGACGGTGCAGCAACAGATTCGGCGAGGTTGGGGCCTTAACCGGTGGTTTTTGGTTCCGGCGAAGCAGAGAGGGCAGCAGGTCGGCGAACCCTCCTATGGTAAATAGCAGTTGTAGTTGTAGATGGCGTGATGTAGAATTTGCACCTGTAAGTCCTCCCTTCCATATTGACCATAAATATCCTTCCCATCTCTCTCTCTCTCTCTCTCTCTCTCTCTCTGACCACAACTACTTGGTGCACAACCTCAAAAACACTGTTATTCTACCTGAAATTCATTGAAGTTTCAAGCTGAAAATGTGGAATCCACCGCTCCCAAAAAATCACATTGTCTGAGGTGTTGGAATGGCCGGTGTTGACTTCCTGGCTGCTGTAGCTTCATTTCCCAACCCGGATGATAAAATTCGGAGCACCAGCTTTGAGGTTCAAGGAGGTGGTAACACTGACAATGTTTTGATAAAACCCGGATGATAAAATTTGTCTTGTTCTTAATCCAAGGATCATATCTATGGTTGCTGATGACTCGCATGACGAAAGAATACTTGATGAGCTTGAAAGGGATGGTGTTGATACATCTTTTATGGTGGTTTCCAAAGGAGGAAACTCACCATTCACATATGTCATTGTTGACAACCAAAAAAAAAACTCGCACGTGCATTTTCACTCCAGGATATCCACCCATGATATCTGAGGGTCTACATACCCAAATCAAAATTGTCTTCAGCGCTTGGAGTAAATATTGTCTACTTAGATGGAAGGCTGCATGAGACTGCTTTGATTGTAGTGCAGGAGGCAAAGAGTAGGGGCATACCTATTATAGTTGATGCAGAAAGGTTAAGGGAGGGGTTGGGTGATATTCCTGACTTTGCTAGTTATGTAGTATGCTCGACAAAATTTCCACAGGCATGGACTAACAGCCTTTTTATTCCAACTGCACTTGTTTCTATTATCTTGAGATTGATGTCAAATGTAAAATTCGTGATTGTTAGTTGGGTGAAGATGGTTTCTTAATGTTAGAAAGGACTGAAGCGGATAACCTCAGTTTGAAGAAATGGATGTAGTAGTGACCAATGGATGGAGAAATACAAGGATTAGAACATAAAAAGACAGAAAAACCCTTCTAATTCACGGTCAACAAACGGCGTCATTGACGGAGGATCAACACTGTCCAACGATCAATAACAGTGGCTACTAAGTGGCAATTTTTATTATGGAGGATGAAAAGTGTCAATGCCCCAATAAGTCTAGGACCAAAAATGACATTAACTCTTGTATTCCGTGAGTCACAATAATAATATAACAATAATTAAATATTGTTCAATTCTATATTCTTCTAGGATTTCTATTACCATCATTAATTATTCCCAAATTTACCATAATTAAATAATTTGACCAATTATAAAGAAAGATTATTAAATAATGCACGGGACAATTGTTTAATTAAAAATATTAAAAATTCATTAATAAAACATAAGGTTCTCATAGTTTTTTCTTAGAAACTCTTTAATAAAGTATTTTTTTTTTTTTAGAAATTGGTGGGCCAAACCGCCTACGGCAGTTTGCGGTGCATAGATCTCGAAAAAATACGCGATTTCAAAAAAACATTTGTCTAAAACGGACAACGGAGTCAAAAGTTATGCCTTGCCGAACTTTTGACACTTTACAACTTAGTGTCAAAAGTCAAAAGTTTTTAGGAGGAGAGATTTTTTTAGGAATTCGGCTGGAAGTTAAAATTTCAGGATTTTGTTTTTATATATAGTATAGATTGTATTACAGTATTTTATAATAATATGAGAATAGAATTTTAACGCAGAATTATTGTACGAATGAGAAAGTAGAAATCAATATATTTTATTAGGAGGAGAGATTTTTTAGGAATTTGGCGAGAAGTTAAAATTTCAGGATTTTGTTTTTATATATAGTATAGATTGTATTACAGTATTTTATAATAATATGAGAATAGAATTTTAACGCAGAATTATTATACGAATGAGAAAGTAGAAATCAATATATTTTATTAGGAGGAGAGATTTTTTAGGAATTTGGCGGGAAGTTAAAAATTCAGGATTTTGTTTTTATATATAGTATAGATTATATTACAGTATTTTATAATAATATGAGAATATAATTTTAAAGCAGAATTATTGTACGAATGGGAAAGTAGAAATCAATATATTTTATTAGGAGGAGAGATTTTTTAGAAATTGGGCGGGAAGTTAAAATTTCAGGATTTTGTTTTTATATATAGTATAGATTGAATTACAGTATTTTATAATAATATCAGAATAGAATTTTAACGCAGAATTATTGTACGAATGGGAAAGTAGAAATCAATATATTTTATTAGGATGAGAGATTTTTTAGGAATTGGGCGGGAAGTTAAAATTTCAGGATTTTGTTTTTATATATAGAATAGATTGTATTACAGTATTTTATAATAATATGAGAATAGAATTTTAACGCAGAACTATTGTACGAATGGGAAAGTAGAAATTAATATTATTTTATTAGGAGGAGAGATTTTTTAGGAATTGGGCGTGAAGTTAAAAATTCAGGATTTTGTTTTTATATATAGTATAGATTCTATTACAGTATTTTATAATAATATGAGAATAGAATTT